ATATATATATATATAAGCGATTTTAATTAAGAGAATGTTGACTGGTAAACGGGGAATAATTTGTCTACAATTTTTCATTCTGCTGAATGAAAATACCTACATTCTGTACCTTTTATTGTAATTAATGAAATGCCATTTACTCTAACTTTCACTCTGGCAAAAAGCTGAAGTAAAAAAGCACAGGCTTTTAAACATCTAAATTCAAAACAATTTACATCATCATCAGTAGCCGAATATTTCCACCTATACAATACATAAATATAATGGACTTGCATGCTATGGGAAACCCCATAAAGCAGTATTTAGGGTTAATGCACATATGTACGTGCTCAAATTAATATCTATACAAAAAAACACAAAAATAAAAAAGGAGCAGCTGTACCTTCTATTCCCATGTTCCAATCTAATCTTCCAAAAAGGCCAAATCTTTCCACAAAAATCTCATATAATCCTTACTTTTAAGCGTATTATAACTCGTCAGCAAATGCACAAATACTAGCTCCAATTATGTACACTGAAATGCTTATATAAAAGTAAATTTATGCAGACAGTGTTGTACCTTCTCATATACTACCAAGGCATTAATTCAAGCTAGTGATCCGCTTCTTTTCTCCTTCTCAATTTGTTCACCCTAATCAGAAGAGATCTGCCAAGCATCCATTCCACTTTCTCCCCTTGCCGCTGCATGCGGCGGAGCCGGTGCTGCCGAGAACCCCTCGACCACCGCCTGCTTTTCCGAACGAGAAGACCCCGTGTGATCCGCTTTGCAGCTGCCAATCCTCATCGAATCAGCGTCCGCAGACGTGCCGGCGATAACACTCCCGAGTTCTCCACCGGCATACCCTCCCGGCGGCCACTGACATAGAGCCATCGCTCGCTGCTGTTCTTGGAGCAATGATTGCAAGTTGAGCGAAGAAGTTGGACTGCTCAAAAAGAAATTTTGGTTTTGGATGGTGCTAGTTGAAGCCAAGGTGTTTGATGAAATGCCAGCGATGGAACCAGAAACTCCAGTTGCCTGCCGCTTCTGCGCAAAAGGACGAAGAAGGAAACTTGGGGTTGAGGAGGAGGATGAAGAGTGGTTAAAGAGGTCGAGACGAGGCCGGGAGAAGAGGGATGACGTGGCAAAAGGAGGGGCAGGGATGCCTGTGAACTCTTGAACCATGGCGCGGAAATTAGAGGTATCGGTGGTGAGGACTGTGGTCGGAGCGCGGCGGGAGGCACGCGAGCGTTTTTTAGAAGTTCGAGGAGCTGCAGCGGAAGATGACGCGGGGTTGGGTGTGGAAGAGGGATGGTGAAGGGGTGGCGGCGGCGGCGGAGGCCAGTTGGTGGCGTCAAGGTCGGCGAGGAAGGAATTGGAGGGGTAAGAGGGGAAGGGGTCGAAGATTAAGCGAGATGTTTGGGGGATCGGAGGAGGTTGGGGTGGTGGGAGGTTGAGGAAGGAGGAAATTGAGTCGGGAGGGGGACGGGAATCGAAGTCTTCGAAGTCGCCGGGGACGGCGCCGCCGGCGTTAGAGGACTGGAAGCTTTCGCTGGTGGCTGAGTCCATGGACATGTGATAAAGTTTGAATTTTGATGATGGTTTTGAGATTTGAGAAGGGATCTGGGAAAGGAGAGAGGGGAGAGATGCTGCAGAGATGGGAAGGGGAGGTGGGCCAAGAGGCTGGTGAAGGAAGGTAGCCAGTCATGCGCTGATAAAGAGAATCGGATTAGTGTCTGATTTTACAGACTTTGGGATTCACAAATGCATGCGGTAACTGGGATTTGTGGCTTTTGGATAGTACATTATTCTTAATTCAATTC